CTGTAATCCCAGCACTTTGGGAGGCCGAGGTAGGCGGATCACGAGGTCAGGAGTTCAAGACCAGCCTGACCAACATGGTGAAACCTTGTCTCTACTAAAAATACAAAGATTATGGCCGGGCACAGTGGCTCATGCCTGTAATTCCAGCACTTTGGGAGGCCGAGGAGGGCGGATCACGAGTCAAGAGATCGAGACCATCCTGGCTAACACGTGAAACCCCATCTCTACTAAAAATACAAAAATTAGCCAGGCGTGGTGGCAGGCGCCTGTAATCCCAGCTACTCAGGAGGCTGAGGCAGGAGAATCGCTTGAACCCGGGAGGTGGAGGTTGCAGTGAGCTGAGATGGCACCCCTGCACTCCAGCCTGGGCAAGAGAGCGAGACTCTGTCTCCAAAAAAAAAAAAAGAGAACAAAAATACGGCTGAGCACGGTGGCTCATGCCTGTAATCCCAACACTTTGGGAGGCCGAGGGAGGTGGATCACCTGGGGTCAGGAGTTCGAAACCTGCCTGGCCAACATGGTGAAACTCTGTCTCTATTAAAGATACAAAAAATAGCCGGGCATGGTGGTGGGCGCCTGTAATCCCAGCTACTCGGGAGGCTGAGGCAGGAGCATTGCTTGAAGCCGGGAGGCAGAAGTTGCAATGAGCCGAGATTGTGCCTCTGCACTCCAGTCTGGGCGACAGAGTAAGACTTCGTCTCAAAAAACAAACAAAAAGATAGCTAGGCCTGATGGCACACACCTGTGGTCCTAGCTACTGGCGAGGCTCAAGTGGGAGAATTACTTGAGCTCAGGAGGTTCCGGCTGCAGTGAGCTATGATTGCACCACTGGACTCCAGTCTGGCAACAGAGCAAGACCCTGTCTCAATTTAAAAAAAAAAGAAAAAAGAAAGAAAAATTCAACAATCAGAAAAAGACACTGAAAATACAACAAAATATGTGGACCTTGCTGGATGCTGATTCAAACTTTAAAAAACATTTACAGGCCGGGCGCCGTGGCTCACGCCTGTAATCCCAGCACTTTGGGAGGCCAAGATGGGGAGATCACGAGGTCAGGAGATCGAGACCATCCTGGCTAACATGGTGAAACCTCGTCTCTACTAAAAAATACAAAAAAACTAGCCGGGCGAGGTGTCAGGCGCCTGTAGTCTCAGCTACTTGGGAGGCTGAGGCAGGAGAATGGCGTAAACCCGGGAGGCGGAGTTTGCAGTGAGCTGAGATCCGGCCACTGCACTCCAGCCTGGGCGACAGAGAAAGAGACTGTCTCCAAAAAAAAAAAAAAAAAAATTTACAGTCAGGAAAATGTGAACAAAAACTAGACATCTGATGCCATTAAGGAGTTACAGTTAATTGATCGTAGGTGTGATAATGGTTTTGGTATTAATTTTTTTTACATGCCCTTACCTAGTAGAGTTACATACTAAAGTACTTATCAACAAAACACTCTGGCCAGGCACCGTGACTCTTGCACTTTGGGAGGCCAAAGAGGGTGGATCACTTGAAGTGGAGGGTTCGAGACCAGCCTGGCCAACACAGTGAAATCCCGTCTCTACTAAAAATACAAAAGTTGGCCAGGTGCGGCGGCTCATGCCTGTAATTCCAGCACTTTGGGAGGCCAAGGCCGGTGGATCACAAGATCGGGAGTTCAAGACCAGCCTGGCCAATATGGTGAAACCTTGTCTCTACTAAAAATACAAAAATTGGCTGGGCGAGGTAGCAGGCACCTGTAATCTCAACTACTCAGGAGGCTGAGGCAGGAGAATCGTTTGAACCTAGGAGGCGAAGCTTGCAGTGAGCCGAGACTGAGCCACTGCACTCCTGCATGACAGAGTGAGACTCCATCTCAAAAAAACAAAGAAAAAAACACCGTGATGGCTGAGATTTACCAAAGCTTAATGTAAAGTGGGGTTGGGAAGTGAGTGAGGATGTATGTGAAATTCAAAAGACCATGGGTTGATAATTATTATCAAGTCTCAGTGATGGGAAGCTCCCTTTCTTTCCTTCTTCTTTCTCTCTCTTTTTTCTTTCTTTCTTTGAGACAGAGTCTTGCTCTGTTGCCCAGGCTGGAGTGCAGTGGCCTCATCTCAGCTCACTGCAAACTCTTGCTTCCTAGGATCAAGTGATTTTCCTGCCTCAGCCTCCCGAATAGCTGGGATTACAAGCGCCCACCACTGCACCCAGCTAATTTTTGTATTTTTAGTAGAGATGGGGTTTCACTATGTCGGCCAGGCTTATCTCAAACTCCTGTTAAGTGATCTGCCCACCTCAGCCTCCCAAAGTGTTGGAATTCAAGCGTGAGCCACCGCGTCTGGCCACCATATTTTCTTTCTTTTTGAGACAGGGTCTGGCTCTGTAGTCTGGGCTGGAGTGCAGGATTGCAATCACAGTTCGCTACTGCCTCAAACTCCTGAGCTCAAGTGATCCTCCCACCATAGCCTCCCCAGTGGCTGGGACTAGAGGCACATACCACCATGCCAGGTTAATTTTTTGAGTTTTTAGTAGAGATGAGGTCTTGCTATGTTGCCCAGGCTGGTCGTGAACTCCTGGGATCAAGCAATCCACCTGCCTTGGCCTCCCAAAATGCTGTGATTACAGGCATGAGCCACCATGCCTGGTCCTTTTTATACTATTATGTCTACTTAAGTGTGGTTTGAAACTTTCCCTACTTAGGCCAGGTGTGGTGGCTCACGCCTATAATCCCAGCACTTTGGGAGGCCAAGGTGGGCGGATCACGAGATCAGGTGTTCGAGAGCAGCCTGGCCAGCATGGTGAAACCTGTCTCTACTAAAAATACAAAAATTAGCCAGGCATGGTGGTGCGTGCCCGTATTCCCAGCTACTCGGGAGGCTGAGGTAGGAGAATTGCTTGACCCTGGGAGGTGGAGGTTGCAGTGAGCCAAGACTGTGCCACTGCACTGCAGCCTGGACAACAATGCAAAAGTCTGTCTCAAAAAAAAAAAAAAACGGCCGGGCACAGTGGCTCATGTCTGTAATCCCAGCACTTTGGGAAGCCGAGGCAGGCGGATGACGAGGTCAAGAGATCAAGACTATCCCGGCCAACATGGTGAAACCCTGTCTCTACTAAAAAAAATACAAAAATTAGCCAGGTATGGTGGTGCGTGCCTGTAGTCCCAGCAACTCGGGAGGCTGAGGCAGAAATCACTTGAAGCTGGGAGGCGGAGGTTGCAGCGAGCCGAGATTGTGCCATTGCACTCCAGCCTGGGCGACAAGAGCGAGACTCCATCTCAAAAAAAAGGAAATTTTCCCTGCTTAAAAAAGAAAGACGACGATCAAAGAAAAACTACCTGGTTAAGTCTCAACTTCTCCTTTGTGGCACTTGGAATGAACATCTGTGCAAATCCCCAGCCGATATCTATCTTTGTCCAGCGGCCTGGAAGCCGCAGAGGGTGAACGTGTCACTTCCCTCTTTGCTCAAGGCCCAGAGCGGCGTCTGGCAGTGCAAATGCTCTTGGCCAACAGTTGAATGAATGGGGATCTGGGGCCGCTGGGGAGGAAACAGTGAACTCTGCCCTACAGAGCTGAGAGAAGGCTTCTCAGAGGAAGTGATATCCAGCCCCGACCTTGAAGAATAAGGAGGGCTGGAGTATATGCAGAGAGGGGGAAGGGTGGAACAGAGAGGGGCCGGGGGAACTGGATGAGCCAATGCTCAGAGGGAGAAGATTGCTCCTGTTGGGTGGCTGGAGCCTAGACTCTGACAGCTGTGTAGAGACAAGTGCTGCTGCATGGGTCTGACGAGGGCATTAAGGCAAGGAAGGCCAAGCACAGTGGTTCACACCTGTCATCCCAGCACCCTGAGAGGCCAAAGTGGGAGAATCATTTGAGGCCAGGAGTTTGAGTCTGGCCTGGGCAGCATAGCGAGATGCCATCTCTACAACAAATTTTTAAAATTAGCCAGGTATGGTCAGATGCGGTGGCTCACGCCTGTAATCCCACCACTTTGGGAGGCTGAGGTGAGTGGATCACTTGAGGTCAAGAGTTTGAGACCAGCCTAGCTAACATGATGAAACCCTGTCTCTACTAAAAGTACAAAAATTAGCCAGAGATGGTGGATGTGCCTGCAGTGCCAGTTACTCATGAGGCTGCAGCAGGAGAATCACTTAAACCCAGGAGGCAGAGTGTGCAGCGAGCTGAGATCACGCTGCTGCACACTAGCCTGGGTGGCAGACTGTGCGGGAAAGCTAAAAAAAAAATGAGCCAGTTATGGTGGTATGCACCTGTAATCTCAGCTATTCAGGAGGCCAAAGGAGGAGGACTGCTTGAGCCTAAGAGTTCAAGACCAGCCTGGGCAACATAGTGAGACACCGTGCCTACAAAAATTAAAGTCAGCCAGGTGTGACGATGCTGTGGTCCCAGCTACTTGGGAGGCTGAGGTGGGAGGATTGCTTGAGCCTGGGAGGTTCAGGCTGCAATGAGCTGAGATCGTGCCACCACCACACTCCAGCCTGGGGTGGCAGAGCGAGAATCTGTCTCAAAAAAAAAAAAAAAAAAAGCCAGCCAGGTGCGATGGCTCACACTTGTAATCCCAGCACTTTGGGAGGCTGAGATGAGCGGATTACCTGCGGTTGGGAATTTGAGACCAGCCTGACCAGCATGAAGAAACCCCGTCTCTACTAAAAATACAAAATTAGCCAGGCATGGTGATGCGTGCCTGTAATCCAGTTACTAGGGAGGCTGAGGCAGGAGAATCGCTTGAACCCGGGAGACGGAGGTTACAGTGAGCCGAGATCGCACCATTGCACTCCAGCCTGGGCAACAAGAGTGAAACTTCGTCTCAACAAAAAAAGGCAAGGAAGCCAAGAGTTTGTCTTGGGGGGCACTGGGGAGCCATGGGAGGGCTGAATGTAGAAGAACTCCTGAGGAATGGGGGGCAGAGCGTGGGCTGCAGTGGGAGGCTGACTGAGGGTCCTGACAGGGGAACTGAGGCAAGGGGGCGTAATGGCAGAGAGGACAGAACAGCCTGTGGCTGCAGATCCGGCTCACCCTTCCACTCCAGGTTTCCACGGCCCCTCTCCAGGTGCTCCCGCAGCCGGTGTGGGCAGGAGAATAGCAGGAAGGTGAGCTCCTTGTTGGCCGCCTTGTCCTGCTGCTGCCACCGCTGACTGATAGCCAGGGCCTCGGGCCAGTCCCCACCCCAGGTGCCCTGCTTGTGGTCGAAATTCATGAACTCCTCGCCGTTCAGGGCGAACTTGGCGGTGGGCACCGAGGTGTTGTCAGGGCTCAGTTCACAGCCCAGCAGGCCCTGCAGAGTGTAGGGGCCTGGGGCGCCCATACACAGGTAAGCGGGGCCCAGGAGCATGGACCCAGCCCCTTGCCCTTCCGGATTCGAATCTCACCTTTTCCCCCCAAAGCTTTGAAAGCTTCCAGAAAGAGCTTCTCCTTGATCCTCAGATCTGTGGTCTCTTTCTCCCAATACCAGGACACTTGGTTTTCCCAGACCCAAGCTCCACAGGGCTCCGCCTGGCCCCGCAGGCTATCGTAGCTCAGGTACTGCTGCGGGCCCAGCCAGCCAGACACCCAGAAGGCAGGCGTCCCCGGGGCAGGCGAGGACACCGCGGTGAGGTGGTACAGGAGGGAGAGGTGGCTTTCTGCAGACAGAGACAGAGCTGAAGGGAGCACATGGGCGGGGAACTAGATTGCAGTGGCACAGATATCCAGGGAGGGAGAAGAATCTATTATGGAGGGAGAGGGAAGATTCAGAGGGAGGGGACAGAGACCCAGAGAGAAAGAGGGACAGAGAGAGAGAAGGACAGAGACCCAGAGAGAGGGACAGAGACGCAGAGAGAGACAGAGACCCAGAGAGAGAGAGAGGGGACAGAGACCCAGGGAGAGAGAGGGACAGAGACCCAGAGAGAGAGAGACCCAGAGACAGAGAAAGAAGGACAGAGACCCAGAGAGAGAGAGAGAAGGACAGAGACCCAGAGAGAGAGAGAGAGAGAGAGAAGGACAGAGACCCAGAGAGAGAGAGAGAGAGAGAGAGAAGGACAGAGACCCAGAGAGAGAGAGAGAGAGAGAGAGAGAGAGAGAAGGACAGAGACCCAGAGACAGAGAGAGAGTGAGAGAGACCCAGAGACAGAGGCCCAGACAGAGAGGGACAGAGACCCAGAGAGAGAGAAAGACAGGGACAGAGACCCAGGGAGAGAAACAGAGACCCAGAGAGAGAGAAAGGGACAGAGACCCAGACAGAGGTCCAGAGAGAGAGAGAAAGGGACAGAGACCCAGAGAGACAGAGGCCCAGAGAGAGAGAGGGAAAGAGACCCAGAGGCGACAGGTGGTTCTCAGCCTCAGGCCCAGCAGGAGACGCTGAGAAAGTGAACTGAGCGGAGAAGGCAGCGCCCGGGACTCGCGGGGAAGTCGGGACCCGCTGGCTTCGCCCCTGCCTGCCTGGGGCCGCCTCCCACCGCCCGCCTGCAGCAGGGCCCCGGCCCGCAGCGGCCCTCACCTGCGCCCAGGCTCCCGGGCAGGAGAAAGAGCAGGAGCCCCAGCGCCCAGGGCTGAGGCCGCGGGACCCTCATGCTGCGAGGACGACCTGGGGCGGGAGGGGGCACGTGACTCCTCCCGACCCCCGGCCCGCCCCTTCCTCCCGGGGTACCAAGGGCAGGGCCGGGACCAGGACGCCGAGGAGGGGCTCTGCGGGCTCGGTCCAGACTGACAACAATGCCCTCCTCCTACCTGAAGAACTTTCACCCCTGAACTGGATCTCAGTTAGTTAATTAATTACAGAAACTTGATAGGCTGGGAGTCCTGGCCCCGAGCTCGGCCACGCCCCTTCCGTCCCCCTCAGCTTCCGTCCCCCTGTGACCCCAGCCCTCCTCCCACAGACCGCTGAGTCCGGACTCCCAAACCGCTTCCTCCTGGGACCCAGGAGTCCGGCCCCAACCCTCCACCTCCGACCGAGAGTCCCGCGTGCCTCAACCCCTCCTCCTTTGGACTCCAGGAGTCCGACCCCAGCCCCTCCACCCTCCTCCTCGACCCAGGAGTCCGGGCCACCAGCCCCTCCACCCTCCGACCGGTGAGTCCGGCTCCCAAACCTCCTCCCTGGGACCCAGTGTCCAGACCCCCCACTGCCTCCTCCTCCGTCCCAGGCGTCCAGGCCTCCAGCCCCTCCCTCAGGAACTAGTAAGCCGAGACCTCAGCCCCTCCCTTCCTAGACAAGATTTGCTCCAGACTCTCGGGCCCCTCCTCCCTCAGGCCCAGGGGTCCAGGCCCCCAGCCCCTCCTCCCTCAATCGGGCCCTGGTCGGCTCACGTTCCCTTCAGCCTCGCTCCCTTCCTGCCTGCGGCCCTGGCCGGCTCCTGGCTCCCGTGACTGGAGACCCCAGTTCCTCTCTCACATCCTGTGGGAGGCTGCTGCTCCCTGACTCCAAGAACATCCAGCCCCACCCCCCCCAGTTGCAGGGCACACCCCAGGCCCTAGGCCCAGCCTCTGTTTGTTTCTCAAAACGCTTGTGGTTCTTCTTTTTCCCCTTCTCTGTGGTTCCCATTTTTTTTATTTTGAGGGTGTCCGCCGCCCAGGGAATTCTTGACAAAGCTGGGAAAGGAACCGGATGCCTTCGAAGTCCACAACTTGGAGGTCTCTGGATCCTCCTCCTACCCTTTTGTATCCCTGTGACCTTCCCTAGCGCTCGCTGTTAATCAAAATCTTCTGGAAGCCTCCGTAGTTCCTCCTTCAAGCCCTTCCCCCGACATCCCGTTAGAAAGGTCCTGCAGGTGCTCTTTAATATCCTTCTGCTGGCCGGGCGCAGTGAGTCACGCCTGTAATCCCAGGACGCTGGGAGGCAGAGGCGGGCAGATCACGAGGTCAGGAGTTCGAGACCAGCCTGGACACTATGGTGACACCCCCGTCTCTACTAATAATACAAAAATTAGACCGGGCGCGGTGGCTAACGCCTGTAATCCCAGCACTTTGGGAGGCCAAGGCGGGCGGATCACGAGGTCAGGAGATCGAGACCATCCTGGCTAACACGGTGAAACGCCATCTCTACTAAAAATACAAAAAATTAGCCAGTCGTGGTGGCGGGCGCCTGTAGTCCCAGCTACTGGGGAGGCTGAAGCAGAAGAATGGGGTGAACTCAGGAGGTGGAGCTTGCAGTGAGCCGAGATCATGCCACCGCACTCCAGCCTGGGAGCGAGACTCCCTTTCAAAAAAAAAAAAAAAAAAAATTAACTTGGCGTGGTGGAGCACCTGTAGTCCCAGCTGCTCTGGAGGCTGAGTCAGGAGAATTGCTTGAACCCAGGAGGTGGAGGTTGTGTAGCAGGACGAGCCACAGACAAAACTCCTCAGACACCGGATTAAAGAAGGAAGAGGTTTTTTATACAGCTGGGAGCGTCAGCAGACTCGCGTCTTAAGAGCCAAGCTCCCCGAAAAAGAAACACTTGGCCTTTTTAAAGGCTTACGACTTTAAGGGGTCCATGTGAAAGGGTCGTGATAAATCGAGCAAGTGTGGGAAACCTGACTGGGGGCTACGTGCATCAACTAACAGAACAAAAAGTTTTACAATTTTTTTTTTTTTCATACAGTGTCTGGGAATTACAGATAACACAAGTAGTTTAGGCCAGGGGTTGATGTTATTATTATTACTTTTTTTAACTCCTAGGGCCGGGTGGTGGTGCCAAGGTTGTCTGGCTATTTATCTTACTTTTGTTTCTTTCTCTCTTTCCTCCTGTCTTGTGAACTAGGCAAGGTGGGGGGAGGAGGGCAGCAGGAGTAGTAGTGGTCTCCTTCCTTATCCCCCGCTTTGAGCATTTTCACTAGTTAGTGGGAGTTCTCACTTTTTTTTTTTTTTTTTTGAGGCGGAGTCTCGCTCTGTCGCCCAGGCTGGAGTGCAGTGGCCGGATCTCAGCTCACTGCAAGCTCCGCCTCCCGGGTTCACGCCATTCTCCTGCCTCAGCCTCCCGAGTAGCTGGGACTACAGGCGCCTGCCACCTCGCCCGGCTAGATTTTTGTATTTTTTAGTAGAGACGGGGTTTCACCGGGCTAGCCAGGATGGTCTTGATCTCCTGACCTCGTGATCCGCCCGTCTCGGCCTCCCAAAGTGCTGGGATTACAGGCTTGAGCCACCGCGCCCGGCCAAATCTGATTTTATTTTAAATGAGCAAACAAGCACTAGTATGTACCGATAGCCTCCAGCACGGAGCAGTTCTATAAAGTCTATAAGCAAGTTTTCACAAGGTATGGCTCTTTTTACTGTCTAGGTTTCTTAGAGGAGGGGTTCTTCTCCCCCCGCCCCCACTTTGTAACTGTATTTAGTGGCTTAGCCTTCAGTGAGAAATTGGAATCCAGATACGGCAGAATCTTGCTGCTTTTAACTTCTAATGTGACCATGGGCTCCTGGGAGCCTCATGAGAAGGGCGTAGTCTGCCCTAGTCTTTACATTCTTCAGCTCCTGTCAGTCTGATCAGATCAGTATTTGGTTCCTCCAAGGTGCGGCAGCCCTTGGCAGGTGGCCTCTTTGTCTTGCGGCCTTGGCCATTTCCTTTATTGCCTTTTTGAACATTTACCCTTCTAGTGTCTTTTCTTTTTGCATCTCGCACATTAATCTCTCTCCAGACTGTCCGGCTCTTGAATGCTTGCCTAACTTGACTTCTTTCATATCTACATCCACGTCCACGTCCTCTCACATTGCTAATTTCTCTTTTATTACACTTACTCTTAGTCTTTCTTTTTCTTTTTCTCTTTCCCAGTTTTGTTCCTTGGTCACAGTCAACATACACCTTGGTGGCCACTTTTATAGACTGGATGATATTCATGCCTGCAGCTTCTGCTTGATGTTACCCTGGGCTTCCTTTACAAATGAAGTATTCACTATATACTGATTTTCAGCAGCCTCAGGGTTAAATGGGGTGTAAAGTCAGAATGCTTTATAGAGTCTCTTATAAAACTGACTTAGACTCTTGTCAGCTCCTCGAAGCATTCCTGGAATTTTTTTTATATTACTTGCTTTTTTCTACCAACTCTTAGCCTCTGCAGAAGTGCTTCTCAGTACCTCTGCGAACGCTGAAGCTGAGTTGCATTCTCTGGGTGTTTTTTTCCCCTTTTTCCTACAGTTTAACAGGCTCTTTTTTTTTTTTTTTTTTTTTTTTTTTTGAGATGGAGTCTCGCTCTGCCGCCCGGGCTGGAGTGCAGTGGCCGGATCTCAGCTCACTGCAAGCTCCGCCTCCCGGGTTCACGCCATTCTCCTGCCTCAGCCTCCCGAGTAGCTGGGACTACAGGCGCCCGCCACCTCGCCCGGCTAGTTTTTTGTATTTTTTAGTAGAGACGGGGTTTCACCATGTTAACCAGGATGGTCTCGATCTCCTGACCTCGTGATCCGCCCGTCTCGGCCTCCCAAAGTGCTGGGATTACAGGCTTGAGCCACCGCGCCCGGCCCAGGCTCTTTTCTTTATATAATTCTCCATGCACTTGGAGGGTTAAACAGGCATACTGAGAGTCAGTGTAAATGTTTACAGTCTTACCTTTACTGAGTTCTTTTTTTTTTTTTTTTTTTTTTTTTTTTTTTTTTTTTTGAGGCAGAGTCTTCACTCTGTCGCCCAGGCTGGAGTGCAGTGGCACCATCTCGGCTCACTGCAAGCTCCGCTCCCGGGTTCGTGCCATTCTCCTGCCTCAGCCTCCCGAGTAGCCGGGACTACAGGCGCCCGCCACCGTGCCCGGCTAATTTTTTTTTTTGTATTTTAGTAGAGACGGGGTTTCACCGTGTTAGCCAGGATGGTCTCGATCTCCTGACCTCGTGATCCGCCCGCCTCGGCCTCCCAAAGTGCAGGGATTACAGGCGTGAGCCACCGGCGCCCGGCCCTTTACTGAGTTCTAAGGCCCGAATTAAAGCAATGAGCTCAGCTTAACGACAGTGTCCAGGGTTACCACCGCATATTCTGCACATCTCTCTCCTTTTGGGTTGAAGAAGCTGTTCCCGTCCACGTATAGCTCCTAGTGTACTGATGCCTAAGGCTGGTCCCGGAGGTCAGGTCTGCTGGAGTAAACTTGAGTCCAACACCTCTACACAGTCATGCTCGACAGGGCTCTAGCTGCCGGGAGCAAGGTGGTGGGTTCAGGGTGTTTCCAGTTTAGTAGATCAATGGTTGAAAGGGGCTGATAGATGAAAGTCTGTTGCCCCCACGGATGTGGGCCTGGTCGTTGTAACAGACAGGTCCTCACATCTCCCTGAGAGGCATTTGCATAGCTTGAGCAAGACCAGATCTGAGACGGCCCACTTGGCTATCTTGACTTCCTTCCTTGGCCTCTCGAGGCTCCGATCCTCCCCTTCGAGGTGAGACCTGGGGCGTGTTAGCTCCTGAATCTCGTTTCTGAGGGGGCTGTTTGCCTTGGTAAAGCGGGGCAGTAGGCTGGGACATATGGAGAAAGAATTTCTATGATCTCTGGCGGCTCCTGCAAAGCTGGCTTCTCTTGCTGTTTCTGGGACTCCGTTTTTAAGTCTGTGTCTGCTGGTGAAGCTGCTCTTACTTTTACTTTTGGCTTTTTTGCAATAAGCTGTTAAACAGGGCTAAATTTACGCTGGTTTTGTCTGTGTTATATTTAACCATGAGTCAATATAAAGGAACTTGATCTAGGTACACTGGCTGTCCTCCGACACCTGTCACCACCTTAAATACATGGCCAATTGTTCCTTGTCTATAGTTCCTTCGAAGGGCCATCCAACACCAAAAGAGGGCAGTTCTAATTCACACAGATCTTAACCTCTAAGGGGTTAACTTACCTCTATAATCTCCTGCAAAACCTCTCTTAAGGTTCTGTAACATGCATTTTAATAGAGTAAGTTTTGATGATTTGCTGACTTTCCTTTTTTCTTTTTGAAATGTTTTAACACAGTTCCTAGCGGAGTGGCCTTACTTTGTGTCCGACCTACTTTTCTCTTGAGACAAAACAACATTCACACTACAAGAAGGAAAGGGTAAAAGATCACTCACTCACCTAATTCACACTACATCAAAATCAAAGCTAAAACCAAGTGTTGTTAAAGGCACACCTGTTCGTCAAGCAATTTAAGCCAAGTCAAAATCAGAACCAAAACCGAAGTGCCAATAAAGGCACGCCTGTTTATCAAGCAATTCAAGTCAAAATCAAAACTAAAACCAAAGTATCAGGCAATTAATTCAAGTCAAGTCAAAAACAAAAACCAAAGTATCAAGCAATTAATTCAAGTCAAGTCAAAAACAAAAACCAAAGTGCCGGTACAGGCATGCCGTGGGTGATCAGGCCACGCTTCCACTCAAATGGAGTGGGCGAGTTCCAAAGACCAGTCTTACCAAGTTTCAGATGTCCGGACTTAAAGGGCCAGTTCCTTCCCAGTGTTCAGCCACTGTGTTGATCCTCCACAGGGGCCTGCTGTGCACTGCTCTGAAGAGGCAAATGTCTCCACCGGGGCAAATGCCTACCCAGGAGCGCTCTCAGGATCCGCATCGCTCAAGCTGGCCAGAGTCCCCCACAGGGATGCTCTACGGGGCAGGCATAAGCTGCCTAAGGGGCTGCCTCCACCGTCCTTTAATCACCTCGCTTCCGGGTCAGGGAACCAAGAAATGTAGCAAGACGTGCCGCAGACAAAACTCCTCAGACACCGGATTAAAGAAGGAAGAGGTTTTTTATTTGGCCAGGAACGTCGGCAGACTGGCATCTTTTTTTTTTTTTTTTTTTCTTTTTTTGAGAGGGAGTGTCGATTTGTCGCCCAGGCTGGAGTG